GCAAGATAAACAGCAGTAGTGAACAGGTCCTTCAAGCACATTGATGATTAGTACAAAGGTATTTATTTATATACAAAGGTCACACAATGTAGGTATTTATTTATATCTTCGCTGAACTGCTGGCCAGCGAAGATGATGTATCAAGTGAACATGATAAATGTTTAGCACACATTTCAATTCATTATGTGTGTACACATTTTGTGGTAAAACATCCTCACTGCACTAAGTACAGTATTATTATGAACATCATAAATACATACAACAGAAATGGAAATTCCTTGAGTTTCATTGTTTTAAAATAAAAGTACAGTCCTAATATGAAACTAACAAGAAAAGAATTGTGACTGTGCCACTTTGGTTTGAAGTGAACAATGATTAAAGGGGAATTGCGTAAGAATTACCACCTATCAGGTTTCAGGTACCTTGGAGTATTCCTAATACTTCAAAATGTTATACGCCTCTAAAACAGTTGGGTTGCAGCTATTTTTTGAGCCAATAGAATTAAAGTCGACCCTACTTTAGTTTTCCTAATACTCGCAACCTTTTGCAAAACAACAATGCATTGTTAATAAAGTAAGTAAACCACCCATAACATACCTGTGAAAAATTATTCACAAAAAAAAAAACATACATGTGAAAAATCAGACCTCCACTCAGAGTTGGTAACGGTGATTAGGCGATAGCCTCTGAGCTAACAAATTCTACCCAGGATCACGAGCAATAGCGAGTCCACGACACCTTGAGTGGCATCAATTCGACATTCCAAACCATGACACCTTGAATCACATCAATTCAGCACTCCACTGCCCGTCTCCTCTGTCTTGAGTTCTTTCTTCTTCTTCAATCCTCTCATCTTCACTCTCGGCTTTACCATCCGGTGCTGCAAATGCTTTGTCTGGAACTGGAAGGCGACCAATGCCTGGAGCACCCCCACCATCTCCTCCTCAAATCTCCTTTCCCTCCCCTCTCAGTTCCAGCCCTCGCCACTGTCAGTGCTCATGCACCCCTTATTGTGCGGCTCCTCCACCACGAGCTCGGACTCGAACATCCTGTCCCCTGTCAGTGCCCAATTTATCTTTGCGGGAAGCCCTACCGTAACCAATTAAGAATTAACTGCCGTTTCTATTAAAAAAATGGAATTAACTGCCTGTTTCTCAAAAAAAGAAAAAATAATTAACTTCCTGCATATCTGTAGACTGTATTCGAGCTGAGACTTTTTTTTTGGGGTCTACAGATGGGTGAAATGAGGAGGTGGACCAAGTTTTGCCACCCACCTCCCTGATTTTGAATATTTTTGCTTATACCTTTGGAAGAATTGTTTCTACCATTAGAATTAGAATATTTTCTTTCTTGATTGAGGTGGGACGTTGCACATTTGAACAATAAATAATGTATCGCAAAAAGTGACGATTGAGGAGGTGGAACAGAGATAACGACACTAGAAGGGGGAATTGAACATTTTCTCTTATAACACGTGGAACAATTGTTGTGAACATTTTTCATAAGGTAGGTATGGAAACATTATTATGGACTCGGAAAAAGAGATGACTGATGATCGAGGAAGAGAATGGAGCATGTTCTAGATGTGTAATGAAAATGTTCCACGGATAAAAATAATGCTCCAAGCATAAAAAAATTCAAAAAATCGAGAAAAATAAAAATCATGAAGGATCAAACGAGGTTTGTAAATATTTTTCAACATACACAATAATGCACTTCCAATGGCTAGCTTTGACACTCCAATGGCTAGCTAGCGTAATTGTCCTTAGATTGTTCGATGCTCACATTTCTCCAATGGTTGGACAATCCTTTGAACACATCTACTTAATCAATCTTCAAAAGTTAACACGTGACTTGCAATTGTCTAGAGCTCACATAAACTCCTGGTCAGACAGTTCGGTGAAGCCATTTCATCAGTGCAACATAAACCATAGCTTTTGTCACTGTGCCTCTGATTGTCTAGCTACGGTAACATCAAAAGTACCCTTTTCACAACAAGGTACTAACTTGACAAATCTCCAATCATCCAATACTCATAATTTCTCTATATTTGTTCTATCTGTCCCATGCATTTTTTCTAGTTTCACCTCAAACTCCTCCAAATGAGCTCCAATTAAGGTGAAACTTGATCCGTTGGATTCCTTGTTGCACGGTCAAGATCTCTGGACCATTTGTTGTTCAAAATTACACCACCATGCTTACTGAACACTTGGTCGAGCTTTCGCAAACTCAAAATCCCATTCTTGGCGATCCTAACTCTTGAAAGATCTTCAACCTTGAGTCTTCTCTTGCAACACTTGACTCATCCATGATCTACTTGATATTGAGTCCTCAATCACTTTGCTTGACTTTTGATTGCTATTCACCTTCAGTATTGAGTTCTTGATCATCTTGTTATTAACTCTTGGGGATATCTTCATTCTCTATGCATTGTGGCCTAACATTAATAGGAGATTCTCCAACCATACACTAGACATACATGCCAAGTGGCCCTCAACTTGCTTATCCATCAATACTCGAGGACACTTTCGTGAAAAGGTAGATATGGTGAATTTCATAAGAATCTATTACTAGTCGGCAACCTACGTCTCTGTTGAGGTGAGTCCTTGGATTGTCACTCCTCTACAACCAAAGCAACCCCTCAAGGTTGACCCTCAATGTAGGTGCTCACCTATGAGTTAACCAATCAATAAGGCACCGTAGAAATCCTCATGCATACCATACATGTCAAGCTTACATTATCTTTTTTCATGGTTCCACCATGGGTGTTATTTCTACAATGATAAACAAGTTAACAAGATTTCTAAGAGATTCCTTAGCAAGGAATACAAGCATTGCAACATATAAAACATTGCACCTTCAATACACTACCTTGAGGACCATGCACGCTAGACAAAGATTGTTAAGGGATGTCAATTCAAGTTATAAAGATAAAACATATGTAAATGTCAACTAATTGAACAAAAATAATAATTCTACTCCTTGATGTGATGGCTTTCATGACTTGGGTCTTAGTCACATTATATATTGGTCTCCCTCCTCGAGATTTGGTGACCTTGCTGGTGGTGAGGAGAGGATATACCTAATAGCTTTGCTAGTCTTAGTATCCAAATAACCTCCCCTTTCTGAGTTTTCCTTCCATGGTCGTGGCAAGTGATTAGGTTTCCAAATTTCAAGCTAGGTTTTCTTGGAGTGACTGCATCATCCCTAATGATATATGCACAACAATCTAGGAAGATATGTCTTTCTCTAACTATGTTGGATATTTTTGTCCATTATTTGCATCGGCGGATTTTGTGGTTGCCTTTGTTAATATTGGGTCTTTTGCTAAGACAACATCAATATAGGCACAAATTGATAAAATGTAACGGCCATTGCCGTTACAAAGATGCGACCTATATATAAAAGAATGAACCTATCGAACCACCAATGTCTTTGTTCTGCTCCTTCACACAATGGCTCTCGTGACTAAGGTCCTAGCCACCTCACATTAGTATTTGTTCTTCTCCGGATCCGGTGACCTCCCCGGCGATAAGGATGAGGGAATTCGCCATATTCATCATCGATCTACAGAGCGTCTCCAATAATTCCACTTTAAGAGGTTTCTTTCCATGGGTATTACAATTTGGTGGATGATTAAGGCTTTATGCATGTTTCCAGGTATTCTCGGCTATAATGAGGTATCTAACAAGCTAGCAAATTATCCCTTTGCCCATTGAATACTTTTGGAGATTTGATTTTGCACCATCCTTTTGGTTCACTTAGACAACCTAGCGCTGGAGTTTTTGTATTTTTTTTTTTCAATATAAGAAGATAGGTAATGATATATCATTGAAAGGTTTCCATGCGTCTTGTTTGAAATTATAGGGTGTTGCCTCTTTGGACTTGCTAAGGTTCTAAGTCATGTTTCTAGGCTCGAAATAAATTCTCGCTTCTACCATCTTCGTTTTGTTCGGCATCCCCTCAACGATTCAGCGGCAGGATACATAGATTGGAGATGGGGATGGTTGTGTCAAGGACCTTTTTGAGCTTATATGTTAATTTGTATGTTTCTCAGGGCCTCTGTATAAGAATGTGTGGAAAAAGAGAAAAAAAATGGTACAACCAGTGATAAGTTCATCACGCTCAAATTGCCTAGGGATCAGTGCCATCTATTTGCAAACTTGATCTCATCATCCAATTCAAAAATGGAATGGCTTGTGAATGATAATTAAGTTCTGTATAATATGTGGCTTGGATTGATGGCAGTGCATATGATAGCTATATGTGTTTGTACGGCATGAAATAAATAAATACTTGTGAATGCAGAGTAGCATATTAAGGCAACTAGCTGGTTACGTATCATTTTGTGGCCATGGCCTTGTACATGATAATGGGCTTGGAATGGATTAATTATTACCCTATATATATTTCTATGACTAAGTTCAGTCGTCGATAATTTTTGGTAAGCATTCAGTACATGCCAAGAAAGTACGCAATAGAAGACAGCCAAAAGAAGATCTGAAACGTAGATTTTTCATGGATTACTGTAGTCCCAAAATTGAAGCGAAGTAGCCAGGCAGTAAATAGCAAATTTAGCCGGTAATCATTGTCATCTAAACTAGACAATATGGACGGGAGATGTCTATTGATATACAAGCATTTATTTCTATATCAGGAGGCTGCTATGAAAGGTTTTTTCTCGTCACCAGTAGAACGTGGCGCGTGCCGATTGGCCCAGCCGTAGCGCCCGTTTGAAACGGTTGCATGCCGCCTATTTCCCGCGCTTTCATTTTTGCTAATTCTGTGAGAGAACAGTGAGTGAGAAAACGATCCAACCAAGAAACTACCTGCAGGCCGGTGTTATAGTTTCAGAGCTTCCCCTTGGCCTATATAAATCCCCGGCCTGCAGAGCTTCCCTTCCATCAACCAATCACCCATCCATCAGCGCTCTTCGATCATTAGTGTGTATACATTAGCGACTAGCTATAGCTAGCATTCGTGCTTGCTTAGTTCCAACAATGGCCGCTGTCACCACTGTCCGCGACATGCTGTACCACTACACCTTTGCCCGCGGCGTCTACGAACGCATCATCGGCGACTGCGACTGACACCCGCAGGTGGCACGGAACGTCGTGGCGCTCCTCCTCTGGTTCGACAAGGGCACCAACAAGGTCATTTCCCAACTGCCGAGCATAAGCACCACCGCCTTAGGCCACCAGCTCAATGAAGCCAGCTGTGTCATTCACTGCCTTCGCATGAGGAACCTCCCTGGCAGCCCACCGACCCCACTCCTCTCTGCGCTCTGCCAAGACAGCCACATGGACCACCCCGGCCTGCTTCTTCGTCTTCAACCAAGGCCGCATCGAGCGTGGCGTCGCCGACCTCCTTGTGTTAGGTTGATCTCCACCAAGTTGGTTCAACGGCCAATTTGGGCCTTTGATCCATGCCCTGATCGGGGGCGCCCAACACAGTCATGGTTGGTGGGCCCCCATCATGCAGCGCTATAAAGAGGAAGGTGGGGGCCGGGGTGCAGGGTACGAGGTTCACCGTAGCCGCCGTTTTCCCCACCTACATCCTAACCCTAGTCCGATCGAGAGGGCAACGCTGACAGCGACGAGAAGCACCACTGCCAGCGTCGCCACCGTCCTCCTCGACTCCCTTTTGCCGACGCCGGTCTCCACTGCTACTCCTTCACCGCCACCCGTCTTCACCGACACCACTGGACTGCACCGACCTCACCACTGGCGCGATGGCGAGCAGCTTTGCCAAGCCCATCGATAGTCAGCTATCTCTACACCTCTCTCTCTTCCTCTTTAGTCTCTCCCTCTGTCTAGTTCATGATCTAGGTTGTTTTATCCCGAATAGAATGGTTTCACCCACTACATCTATGACTTGTTGATCCTAGAACTTATGACATTGGTATCAGTAGCCTTACTAGGGTATAGATCTAGGCTTTGGGGTAGAAAAGAAGAAGAAATTAGAAGGAGATGAACGAATCTCGATTCAGATCGAAACCCTAACCCTAGCCCTAACCCTAACCCTAGAAGAGGAACGAACGAAGAAGGGGAGGAACCTACCTAGTTTCCTTACCACCGTCGACACCGCCGTGCGTGGGAAGAATGACCGTGTCGTCGCTTCGCTGACGAGCGGGAAGACCGGCCAAGCCGTGGGCTTGCCGACGCCTTTGACGCTCCGCGTGCGGGCGCAAAGGGCACTGCCGCACAACCCTTCGACGGTGGCGTGCTCACCCTTGGGTGGACGCGCACATCGGCAAAGGGGCACGCGGCGGTGCCGCCATCTCCTCCGGCTGCCACGGGTGGCTGCCGCTCCACTGCCGCTTTGTCGGGGCGCTCTGAGAGAAAGGGGAGGGAGAGGAAATGGAGTTAGGGTTCAGGGGAGCGACGCGGAATGGTTTTGATCGGCCGAGACCCACGGACAACCATCGGATCAGATCCGACGGTCGACGTTGATCGGGCCAGCTTAGGCCCAGCGGGAGGGCGCTTTCCTGGCCCAGGCCTACGTTGTGGCCTGGGCACGGGGGAGCGCGGCGTGAGCGGCCGTCGTGAACCGTTTTCCCTGCTGGGCCGTGGCAGAGCGCAACGCACGAGTGGGCCTTCGGGCCAAATGCACAGTGACCTTTTCCTTTTGTTTTATTATTTTCAAAAGCGATTTGGATGAATCAAGATAAGTTTTGATTATTAAATCTCTGTTCAAATTTGAATCAACGGAAGAATTTGTTCGGAGAGTAGTTAAGTACATAAAAATGCTTCTGAATAATATTATTTTCATGTTTCCGCTGCAAAGTTGATGCTTATCATCTTCTAATTAAATTCCAACCAACGACATGATTTAATTTGAAGAGTAGTTATATTTATTCAGTAAATTATGATATTGTTATTTTTCTGACCAACGTTGATAATAACAATATTATAAGTTAATTCAAGAGTTTTTCCATGCATTAATTCTATTTCTGTCCAACGGTGATATAGAATTAATGTAGAAGAATGTTTTATTTATGATATTGCTATTTTCTAACCAAAGTTGATGATAGCAACATTATAAATTTTATTTATGAGTTTTTGCATTAGTTCTATTTCTGCCCAATGGTGATGTAGAATTAGTGTAGAAGAATATTGTATGTTTTAATTTTGACCAACGTTAAATTACGGCATACAATCATTATGTCAACTGTTTCTCACTTTCTCTGATGTTGTTTCAGGCTACAACCCAATAACGTTTATCTCGTCCATTCCGTCTCTCAATGGGAGCAATTATAACACATGGCGAGAGAAGCTTGGGATAGCACTTGCGCTCTTAGACAATGATCTAGCACTTATCTCTCCGTGTCCCACTGAGCCTGTGGACTCGGTGAGGGCAGAAAATGAGACCGATGCAGCTTTCGCTACTCAGCAGCGTGACCACGCTGAACTGAGAATGAAGTACGATATTGATCATGCGAAGTGTGATAGTTCAAACCGCAAGTGTTTGATGGTGATTAAGGACACCATTGAGGATCCAATAAGGGGTTCGATCCTAGAATATACCACCGCCACTGAGTATCTCAAGAAGGTGGAGAGTCAGTTTACTGGCTCTTCAAAGACTTATGCAAGCACTCTCATTAAGAAGTTAGTTAATGAGAAATACTCTGGTGGTGGGATTAGAGAACACATATTGAAGATGAGCAACACGACATCTAAGCTCAAGCCAATGAACTTAGGGCTCAAGGATGAGTTCCTAATTCATTTGATTTTTGCTTCTTTGCCCAAAGAGTATGAGACTTTTATTGTGAACTATAACTTACAGCCAGATAAGTGGGACATTGAGAAGCTCATTGCAATGTGTGTGCAAGAAGAGGAGAGGCTTAAGAGCTCACATGGTGACTCAGCTAACCATGTGAAGGAAAATAAAAGGAAGAACTTTTACAACAAGAAAGACAAACCATAAGGGAAACCTCAGTGGGACAATAGCTCCTCCTCTAAGTCACAAGGAAAGGCCCCTCAGAATGATCACCATCAGAAATCAAACTATGTTCAAGTGGACAAGGACACCTGCAAATGGTGCAAGAAGACTAGACACTATCAGAAGAATTGTTCAGATTTCCTGAAGCACCTGATGAGAAAATGTGAGGACATTATTACATTCGTAGATGAGTCCTTGTATTTAAGTTATGCAAAATCTACTTAGTGGATTAATTCAGGTGCAACTATTCATGTTGCAAATTCATTACAGGGATTCTATACGAGGAGGACCCTGCAAAGAGGAGAAAGATACATTAAGGTGGCAAATGGAGTCAAAGCTGAAGTAGAAGCCATTGGAGAACTCCCATTAGAATTAAATGATGGCTTTGTACTCAAGCTTACAGATGTCCTTTGTGTATCCTCTTTGCGTAGAAACCTAATAAGTGTCTCACGTTTAGACGATGATGGATTGATTGTCATTTTGGTAATGGCTAATGTAAGATTATGTTTAATAATAAGTGTGTTGGTCTTGCCTTCCGATAAGACAAGCTTTATTTGTTATCACTTTGTGAGAATGTGAATGTTGTGAGCACTAATAATGAGAATGCCTCCTCGTCTATGAATATAAGTAATAAGCGGAAGAGAATTCATGACATATCATCGAAACTATGGCACTATCGTTTAGGCCATATTTTGAGGGGGAGAATAGAAGATTGATTAAGAAATCAATTCTTCCACCATTAGAATTTTCAGACTTAGAACAATGCATTGATTGCATAAAAGGAAAGTATGTTAATAAAATAAAGAAAGATGCCAAATGAAGCGTAAGAATTTTAGAAATAATTCACATAGATATTTGTGGTCCTTTTTCTATGAAAAGTGTGGATGGTTATAATTCATTTATAACATTCACAGATGATTATTCTCGTTATGGCTATATTTATCCAATTAAGGAAAGATCAGAAGCATTGGATAAATTTGAGATATTTAAGGCTAAAGTAGAAAATCAGCACAATTTAAAGATTAAGATAGTAAGACCCGACCGTGGGGGGAGTACTACGGTCGACATACCCCATATGACCAAGTTCCTGGACCTTTTGCAAAATTCTTACAGGAAAATTGCATAGTTGCCTAGTACTCTACACCGGGCGAGCCTTAGCAGAATGGAGTAGCTGAAAAACGCAACCATACCTTAATGGATATGGTGAGAAGTATGATAAGTTACTCCACTTTACCGATAAGTTTATGGATAGAGACGTTAAAAACCACCATTCATATTCTCAATCGAGTGCCGAGCAAGTCAGTGTCCAAAACACCATATGAATTGTGAACAGGTAGGGAACCCACTCTTAACCACTTACGTGTGTGGGGCTATCCTGCTGAGGCCAAAGTATTTAACCTAAACATTGGAAAGCTAGACTCCAAAACAGTCAGTTGCCATTTCATTGGCTATCCAGATAAGTCAAAAGGTTATCATTTCTACTGTCCTGACAGACATACAAAGTTTGTAGAAACAAGACACGCTATGTTCTTGGAGGATGATATGGTCAAGGGGAGTATGGTAGGGTGAGAAATTAACCTTGAGGAGAAGCGGGTAAACATGCCCACTCCGATGGTTCAGCAGCCAATTTTCTCGCTACCTGTTGTTGCTGCACCTGTTGTTAGTTCTCCTGTGGCAACAATAAATGAACGTGAGGAACCTGTCCTTCAGGATCCTATAGAACCCATTGTCGCACATGAGGAAGAGCAACAACAACCCGATATAGAACAAGTGCCAACTGATGAGGCCCCTAGGAGGTCTCAAAGAGCCAGAAAACAAGCCATTCCTGATGACTATGAAGTCTATGAATGTGAAGAATTTTCAAATGGAGGGTGATCCCACCTCATTTGAAGAAGCCATGAGAAGCGCTCACTCATCAAAGTGGCTTGAAGCCATACAAGATGAAATGAGATCAATGAGCACCAACAGTGTTTGGAACTTAGAAAGAATTCCTAAAGGAGCCAAGACAGTAGGCTGTAAATAGGTCTACAAAACTAAATATGACTCCAAAGGGAATGTGGAAAGATTTAAAGCGCGACTTATGGCGAAAGGTTTTACACAAAGAGAAGGAATAGATTATAATAAGACATTTTCTCTAGTCTCATGCAAAGACTCTTTTAAAATCATAATGGCGTTAGTGATGCATTACGATTTAGAATTACATCAGATGGATGTAAAGATGGCTTTCCTTAACGGGGATTTAGATGAAAATATCTACCTGGCACAACTAAAATGTTTTGTCGTGAAAGGAAAAGAATGTATTGGATGCCGCGTGAAGAAATCCATTTATGGCTTAAAACAAGCCTCTAGACAGTGGTTTTTAAAGTTTGATGGAACGATAAGAAAGTTTGGGTTTAAAGAGAATGTAGAGGATAATTGCGTTTATACAAAGTTCAAGAATGGGAAATTCATTTTCCTCATCCTGTATGTGGATGACATCTTACTTGCTAGTAGTGATGTTAATCTACTGCTGGAGACAAAGAAGTTCTTGTCCTCAAAATTTGACATGAAGAATCTTGGTGAAGCTTCGTTTGTTTTAGGAATAGAGATTCACCGAGATAGAAGAAAGAGGTTTTAGGATTATTGCAAAAGGCATACTTAGAAAAGGTTTAAAAAAATACAGTATGCATGCGTGTAAGCCTTCACCTGCTCCTATAGTCAAGGGCGATAGTTTTGGAGAATTCCAATGCCCCAGGAACCAATATGAGATCGATCGAATGAAAGCGGTTCCATATGCTTCGGCTGTCGAAAGCTTGCAGTATGCTCAAGTATGTACACGCTCTAACTTAGCTTTTGTTATCGGGATACTTGGCAGATATCAGAGTAATACAGGAATAGAACACTGGAGAATGGTAAAGAAAGTTTTGCGTTATTTGCAAGGCACAAAAGGTCTCATGCTAAAATACAGAAGATCTGATTCCCTCCATATAGAGGGGTATTCAGATTTAGATTTTGCGGGAGATGTAGATGATAGAAAATCCACACCAGGCTATGCATTTACTCTCGCAGGAGGAGCAATATCGTGGAAAAGCTCCAAGCAAACCATCACTACATCGTCCACGATGTATGCTGAGTTTGTAGCTCGTGGAGGCCACGGGACAGGTGAACTGGCTAAAGAAATTTATGTCCGGGTTGAAAGTGGTTGATGACATCCGTAGACCACTCAAGTTATACTGCGACAATGAACCAGAAGTAACTTATGCTCACAACAATAGGTCAAGTAATGCTGCCAAACACATTGACATAAAGTTCTATGTTGTGAAAGACAAAGTCCGAGATCATGCTATTAGTCTTGAGCATGTAAGCACAAAGAAGATGCTTGTGGATCCGTTTACAAATGGCTTACCACCCAACGTGTTCAGAGAACACTTAGCCGGCATGGGTTTACGGGAAAACGTATGATTCCTAGACAATAAGGGCCTAGTTAAGAATCTGTTTCAAAACAGAGAGGTGTATTATAGCTGTTAATCCAATGATACTAATTATTGTGACAAGGCACGCTCTATACACTAATCTGTGATGGAATAGGAAAAGGTAAAGTATTTTAAGTTTAAGTCATAAGGTGAGATCAAGGGGAAGAATGTTAGGTTGATCTCCACCAAGTTGCCCCAAAGGCCAATTTGGGCCTTTGATCTGTGCCCTGATCGGGGGCGCCTAACCCAGTCATGGTTGGTGGGCCCCGTCGCGCAGCGCTATAAAGAGAAAGGTGGGGGCCAGGGCGCAGGGTACGAGGTTCACCGCAGCCGCTGTTTTCCCACCTACATCCTAACCCTAGTCCGATCGAGACAGCAGCGCTGACAGCAACGGGAAGCACCACTGTCAGCATCGCCACCGTCCACCTCGACTCCCTTTTGTCGACGCTGGTCTCCACTGCTACTCTTTCACCGCCACCCGTCTTCACCGACACCACTGGACTGCACCGACCTCACCACCGGCGCGATGGCTAGCAGCTCCGCCAAGCCCAGCGATGGTCAGCTATCTCTACACCTCTCTCTCTTCCTCTTTAGTCTCTCCCTCTGTCTAGTTCATGATCTAGGTTGTTTTATCCGAATAGAATGGTTTTACCCACTAGATCTATGTCTAGTTGATCCTAGCACTTATGACACCTTGACGGTGTGTGCACGCTCATTTTTTATGACCGCCTCTACCACTTGCTGTGCCGCTACCAGACTGGCCTCGTCGGCCGCAACCAGGAGCCCGAGGCGCCCTATGAACGCATCGTCATCACCGTGCCGGAGGACTGCCGCTCCATGTTCATCACATTTTCGGAGGGCCAGCCAGTCGAACGAGACGACATCTTTAGCTACTTCAGGGAGTATGTTCTGCATCAACTTGTTGACACATGCATGATTGCTCTCTAGCTTCGTGAATGACACATATATGTGCATGGTTGCATCCTCATTGGATAATAATGCATGCATGCAGGACCTGGGGTGACTGCATTGTCCGTGTTCTTATGGAGAAGACCACTTGTCGTGTGCAGCCAATGTATGGCCGCGTCATCTTCAAGAGCAAAACGTTCGTGAGCCTGGTGCTCAACGGCGTGGAACACGCCTCGCTCTTCATAGGCGGACGTGAGATCTGGCTCCGCGAGTACATCCCGCGCAGCATGAACTTTGGTCGTCCTAGGGCGTCCATCAGTGCTGGTAGCTAGGAGATCAGCATCAGGAAACTATGCATATGGCGTTAAGGAGTAGCGGCCGCCTGACCATCCCGGCTGGTGGATCCTCCCCAGGATAACAAGAACTACAATACACAAAACCATTGTACAATAAATCCATCTAGCTTTTCTGTAAATCACAAAACTACTGATTCCCCTATATGGTATGACCTGCTCAAAGTGAAGGACATATACCTTCAGGGCAGAAGCATTAGGATTATGAATGGAAAGAAAACTAGCTAGATTCTGGTCTGATCCTTGGCTATATGACAAACCTTCGTACACAATTGTTCCTGTTCTGTTCATCCTGTGTGAACAAAAAGAATCTAGTTAATGCAGAGTAGCAAATTAAGGCTACTAGCTGGTTACATATCATTTGTCGCCATGGCCTTGTGCCTGATAATGGGCTTGGAATGGTTTAATTACTACCCTAATATATATTTCTACGACTAAGTTCAGTCGTCGACAATTTTTTGGAAAGCATTGACTACATGCCAAAAAATTACGCAGTAGAAGACATAGCCAAAAGAAGATCTGAAACGTTAGATTTTCAAAGCATTTCTATAGTCCAGAAATTGAAGCAAAGTATCCAGTCAGTAAATAGCAAATTTAGCTAGAAATCATTGTCATCTAAACTAGACAATATGGAGGTGAGATGTATATTCATATACAAGCGTCTATTTCTTTATCAGGTGGCTGGTATGGAAGGTTTTATCCCATCACCGGACTTGGCGCGTGGCGATTGGCCAAGCCGTAGCATCCGTTTGAAACGGTTGTGTGCCGCCTGTTCCCCGCGCTTCCATTTTTTCTAATTCTGTTAAGCTTCATGTTCAGCTCTCTCTTCAGTCCGCTGCCTCAGCACCTCATTTCGACTGGGTTCAGACTCTCCATGATACACCCATACTAAATAATCAGGCCTGAAACCATGCTTACAAAGGTGCGCAATCATCGTATTCCTCATTTGGGGCCGTGTATTTCCACAATTCTGCATCCATTCGTCAGTATACTCACCCCTCTTCCTCCGTCCGGTGTACATCCAACTACGATCATGTGGCATCCTAGTAAGCCAAACATGTTCACATGAACACTGGGGTTCAGACCAAAATTTTGAAAGCTTACAAAATTGTTACTGAACTTAGGTTATTTCAGTTCATCGTACTAGAGATTCACAGCAAATTGCACAATTAAAATTCCTTAGATGTACTACAGAATTACAGAATCAATTCCCGTTCAAACCCTTGGTCAAATTAAGAAATGCAAGCCACACAGAACTCAGTAATCCAACATTCCTACCACTCCATCAGTCAAAATACCGACAAACTTATCGCACCACAAAAGCAAAACCAGTGCAAGATCCAACAGATTTAAATCGAGAGAGAAAAGGAGGGTAGGATTAATCTGACCTTATGAACAGCTGGGAGCAGGCTCAGTCCTCTAAAGTTGGCCATTTGGCCCGGGCACTACGGGCCGGCCCAAGCACGGCACGAATCAGCACGGCCCAGGAACGGCCCGGCTCGACGGCCTTCGTGCCAGTGCCTGGCACTGCCGTGCCTGGGCCACCATTCTGGCCCGTAGTGCCAGCCCGGGCACGGCACGCTATATGGGCCGGCTCGGCAGCGGCACGGCTCGGCCGCAGGTGGCCGTTGGATCCCCGGCCAAGCTCCCATCCGACCGTTGGATCCGGCCGTTGGAATCGGGGGTATAAAACCGCCCGTCCCGGCCGGCCGGCCGCGTCTCCGTTGCCCTAATTCATTTGCTCAGTCTCACTCTCTCTCTCTCTTGCCTCACTCTCGGCTCTCCCCCGCAGCGCCGTCTCGCCCGTTCCTCTCTCACCTCGCTCTCCTCTCTCGGCGAGTCGACATCGCTGCTTCGGCGACTCGCTCTCCTCTCTCGCCTCCGACTTCCTCTCTTCTTCTCGCTCTCCGGTGGCCTCTAGAGCCACCGCTGGCCGGCATTGGCACAATCCCTAACCCTAACTCTTGCCCAATCCCTAACCCTAACCCTTGATCTTGCTTCGTCCTCGCCGGATCCGTCGTCGACCTCGCTGGATCCATCGGTTTCCTCACCGGATCCATCGGATCTCCGGCCTCGCTCCCATCGGACCGTTGGATCCGGCCATTGGAATAGGGGGTATAAAACCCGTCCAGGCGGGCCGGCCGCATCTCGCTCTATCGCGGCGGCGCCTAATTCATTTACTCTCCTCTCTCGGTGAGTCGGCATCGCCTCATCGGCGACTCGCTCTCCTCTCTCGCCTCTGACTTCCTCTCTTCTTCTCGCTCTCTGGTGGCCTCTGGAGCCACCGCTGGCCGACACTGGCACAATCCCTAACCCTAACCCTTGATCTCGCTTCGCCCTCGCTGGATCTATCGGTTTCCTCTCCGGACCCGTCGGTTTCCTCGCCGGATCCATCCCTCGTCGTCTGTGCTCGCCGGATCCGTGCCTCGTCGACCTTGCCGGCAACTCTGGTGCTCCGGCTTTGAAGGTAAGTCATCGTCAATCCATAACCCTAACCCTAACCCTAACCCTAACCCTCAATCTATACTAACCCTTGCTCTATTTTGTCTGAAGCCGTTGAGGGACCGGGGCGCCGACGAGTGGCGATGGCTGGATCCGACGACGAGATGCTTGAGGTCGGTTCCAACCAAGAGAGGCGGTTGTGGGGGTTGGCCGGAGATGATGATGAGGATGACCTACGTGAGGACGCCGCGGAGCTATTCTACCATAATGTTCAAGCTCCCATCGTCCTCAAGCCCTGCAATGATCAAGCAGTGGACGGGGAAGAGAATAACGGCAACCGGTCACGTCCCTCTACCTCGGCAGTGTGGCTTGATTTCAAGAAACTCTTCAAAACAGTGAATGGTAAGAAGGTCAGGTACGGAGCTAAGTGCATCCATTGCTCTAAGGAATACTTTGGGCTCTCTAGTGGTGGCACTGGTCACCTCACCCGGCATAGGGATAAATGCCCTAGCAGGCGTGAAAAAATTCGCATGTCTCAGTCACAGATCTCTTTTAATCCTGATGGTAGTATGCGCAATTGGGAGTACTGCCCTATTGTTACTCGTACTCAACTGGTTCGATTGCTTGCTAGGCTTGATGTTCCTATCTCTTTGGAAGAATCATATGCATTTGAAGAATACATTAGAACTGCTCATAATCCTAAATTTGTTTCAGTCTCTAGGCAAACTACCACTAGAGACATGCTTAAATACTTCTCTGATTGGAAGGCTAAGCTTGTTGAGACTGTTAGTTCTGCTAGTGTTAATTGTGTGTGTCTAACCTCTGATATTTGGTCTGGTAATGCCAAAGAGGACTACCTTAGTGTTGTTGCTCACTACATAAACTCTGATTGGCAACTAGAGAAGAGAGTGCTTGGTCTTAGGCTTATTGATTGTTCCCACAATGGACAAAACATTGCTGATCTTGTTGCATCTGTGCTTGCTGATTATGGTTTGACTGAAAAAGTATTTGCTGTTACTTTGGACAATGCATCATCTAATGTATCTGCCATGCAAAAACTTAGACTTGTTCTTTCTAAATATCTTGGTATTGAAGTTGTGGTCAATGCATCATCTAATGATAGTGGTGATTTAGACAATGCAGTTAATTCTATGTTCTTGCATCAGCGTTGTGCATGTGACATTATCAATCTGATTGTTAAGGAGGCCCTAACTGCTCTTAAGCCTTTGATTGAAAATTTTAGAATTGTAACATCTTTCTTAAACTCATCTAACCAGAGAATTGCTGCATATAAAAGTTACTGCATTGCCACTGGTGTTAGGCCTAGAAAGTTTCAACTGGACATGGAAGTTAGGTGGAATTCTACATACCTAATTGTCGATGTTTTACCACCGGCAACCCGTCACGGGGTACCCGGGACGGTGATTTGTTCGGAGGGGTATCGGCGTTTGCAGGAACTCGATGGTAAACACAGGGAGACAATGATTTATACTGGTTCGGCACGCCAGAAAGTCACGGCCCCTACGTCCAGTCTGGTGTGGATAGTATATTACGCCCTACGCTATTTGTTGTGTTGCGAGATATGTTGTGGTTGTGAGTTCTGTCGGTTATGTGTAGGTCCCGATCTAGGGACCCCTGCCCTCCTTTATATAGACCAGGAGAGGTGGGAGTCCTAATCGGTTACAAAGTAGAGATCCTAGTAGGATTACGTATAACTAGTTCTAGTAGGATTACATGTAGGGAATCCTAGTTGGACTAGGTCTTCTTCTCTCTTCTCCGTGGGAAACCCCATGGGTCCCGTATCGACAAGCCCCCGAGCATCTCATGGATGAGCTTCGGAAGCCTTCTTGTTCTTCTTGGTCTTCGTTGAGTTGTTGTAAATCCGTTTTAGGTTCTTCTTGAAGTGAAACCTTGAGATGGTCTTCTTTGTCTTTTCTTCGGCTGATGTGCACTTTTGGACAAAAGTGCACTCAGTGAGTATAGCCCCCGAGCCTCTTGCTTTTGCTTGCAAAAGTTGGAGGGTCCAGATTCTTGTCTTCAAAAAATTTTTGGGGTTATGTATCCCGCAGCCCCCGAGCCTTCTTCGAGTACTTTTCTTTAGAATAGAAATCGGATGAAGGGTCTTGATGTGTTGTCTTTGTTGTAGTCTTGAGTACTTGTATTCTTGGTCTTTCATCCTTGAATTCGAGCCCACCCAGATGGGAGTACTTTTTTCTTTAAAAAAGCACACACCACTCGAAGATTCCAAGAAGCGCTACATGGTTTCACTCAAGAAAGCACTCGGGCGACGCTTGTTCCTGCTCGGCAGGACCTGGAGGAACAAGACAAGGCTTCCGGAGTTCAACCATGAAGTGCTCGGGGGCTTGTCGGTGCGGGTCCCACAGGATACCCCGCAAGGAAGAGAGAAGAAGACCTAGTCCAACTAGGATTCCCTACATGTAATCCTACTAGAACTAGTTATATGTAATCCTACTAGGATCTCTACTTTGTAACCGACTAGGACTCCCGCCTCTCCTGGACTATATAAAGGAGGGCAG